TGTTTCTAGAGAAATGCGGAAGAGGCGTGCCCGTCTTTTCACATTGATGTCGCTCAGTCCCCCAGTAACGCTTTCAGCCCTCAATTAAGCCACCAGCCAATCCCTGGTGAATCCGCGCTCCTGCTAGACCAATAAGATTTGGATATGAACTGCCTGCACCCCTTTGTAAAACTATGCTTAAGTAAGGCAGTCGTTATATCACCCGAATGGCAACATGCTTTAGGATTTGCACACACCCGAGTGCGCCCGAATGTGTCCGAGCTACCCGAATGGGGGCATTCGATGTATACATGCGAATCATGTATCGGTGGATAAATAGTTCAGTGAAGTGTAGCCAAGTTCAATGACATCCCAGGCAGTGTCAGAGTAAAATGCATCAGAAATGTAAAGTCTCATATTATGCCGAAGAAACTTACACAGACATACAGAGGTACCGGTATCGTAGAAGCTGCAACCTTTGCTTGTTCACATATCCCACGTCAGAAGCTCCCGTAAAGGCTTCGAATGCCAAGAGAACGTAAATGCCACAATTGTAGTTGTCGGTCTGGATACCAATGCTCGATACGTACGACTGGTGATGATACCTATCCTTCGGTATCGGTAGGACCCCCACCAATTTGTGCGCGATAGCTCGGACGCTGGCCGCATAGGATGATGACATCGGGTCGTAAGTGTATATGCTTTCGGTCGATAGGTCGATCATGATAGCGCACCAATGATTTCCATTACAATTGATGGGAACGAGCACCTTTTCGTCCGAAACCCCGGCGAAAAGAGACGCAAGGCCCTTCATGTCTGTAGTGTTTTTCCCGTTGACAGCTACACCGACGTGGCTCGAATCCAGGTTGACAGCGGATCGGACCGTAGTTAGTAGCCACCGCTCGTTTAGCAATTGAGTCGGGATTACAGATTCTATCTTCATGTCTTTCCGTATGAAGAACACATGCCGGCAAGGAAGTAAGCGCGTCGCCATGAAGAGGCATGAGCACGTCCAACTATTCTAGTGAACCGTGTAACTGACTCGAGGCTCGTCGAGGGCATCTTCCGACCTTGATTCGCTATGGATAGCGTATACTCCGGGAAATACCTCATTATACTGATACGAAGCTTGGGCGACGGCAAACGTGTACTGCTTGTAGATCAGCTCACAAGCGTGTTGGCCAACGAGGTTGGCAACATGCTTCATCTCCTTATCGTAGTGAGTATGCTGGACGGAAGTCACTTTAAAGACTTGGTCGTTAAAGCTGCGTTCCTGACGACTCTGGTAGTACATGATGGAGGCAATGCACTCGTCCAGATCCACGAACGCGTCAACCCACTCTTTAAGCTGCTTCCATGCCGACTCTAAGCGGTTGTTAGTATTGTTTCCAAGAGTAACCGTGTTTTGACGCTTGTATGCACACCATAGCTCTCTGCAGCTATCCCAATTCTTCGTAAAGTAGGCTTCAAACGCATGCAGATTGGGGTCGCATTCCTCTTCGGCTTCATTGTGAGCATCCGAGCCGGCTTGAGTCTGAACTAAGTCCGCATCACCAACGCGAAACCCAATTGGACCCGAATCACCCGCTGAGTGCCCGACTGAGCTCGAATCCAACATTAAGTGCCCAACTGAGCCCGAATCAGCCACAGCCTGCCCGAGTAAGCTCGAACTGCCCGAAGCAACGCCAAATGTCACAAGGTGGCGGAGGTAGCGACGATGCTTCAAATAGGCTGCCTCAGTAGGAGCATACACGAGCAAATTGAATGTGCTGCGTAGCTGGTCCTTTTGCCATGAGGTGAAACCATAGTCCGAAGATGCCACAGCCTCTCTCAGATACTTCAACACGTGAAACTGACAGAGCAGTATAGAGGCATCCGGAAACGCTGCCCTGAGTACCGACAACTCCGTAAAGTCTTTGTCGATAAGTATGCGTTGGACTCGAGTCCATGCCGGATTGTTCTGCTTAAACTCCTCGATTGCAGTGACGAGAGTGTGACGACGTTTATTCTGCAGAAGGGCGTGCTGAACAAACTGTCCGTGGCCGAAAACATCGTGCGCCATGAACGAAAATACCTTGTACTTAGAAGCATTGGTGCCGTGGGTTGCATCGATCAAAAGAACCTCCGGGAATTGCTCGAACATCAGCCTCATGTGCTGGGTTTGCAATGTAATGCAGGTCGCAACTCGCTAATTACATTCAACACTGCACGTTAGCTAAGGTATCGATAGTCAAATTGAACGAATACTATACCTTGGTCTGCATGGTCTCGACAAATATACGTCCAATATTTCCTGGTGCTTCACAGAATTCTTGCATCCATGTTTTCAACCGTTTGGCACTGTTACGCGAACCACGCACGTTTTCGCTATGCTTGAGGCTTCGAACCATGTTACGCACGTCCTGAATAGACGGGTTGGCGTCCGTGTTCTCGATGATGAACTTCATAATATTCTTGTGTTTTGCACCCGCCTTGCGGAGCATATCCACCGAATCAACGACGCCATCATCTAGCACCTTGTGGATCGAGGAAAAGCGATAGAAGGTTTGGCGGTTGACGACATGATTGTGTACGGGGTTACACTTTGTGATACAAACTGCAAACGCGTGCTTGGCTTTGTCAACTAGTCGAACGCAGGCGTTGATCTATGCCAGATTTATTAGCGTTAGTACCGATAATTGAGACAATAGTACCCGCAATGCCCGAACAAACCCGAACGAACCCGAGCAGAAGTAAAACTTGAAGCCGTATCTTACCTGGGCTTTGCAGTCCGATAACCGGGTCTCTTGACGTGGGCGCTTGCTGTTTCCCTTCGACTTGTACTTGCCGAAGCAAGTACAGACTAACGTCTTCGCGTAGTATTTCCATTCGGACGGGATTTCAGGTGCTTTAGAGTTCTTGTTTCGGATGTCTGTGTTACGACGCTCAACGGTCGTGTTTGTACGAACACGGAAGACCTTCATAGCACACAATGGGATCAGCAAAGAAGCCTATTGCAGTGTAAATCCACTTTACCTGGTAAGATGCGGCAAAATACCGGTCTAAATACGAGTGGAAAGCGTCCCACGATGTGAAGTGGTGCTTGTCGGGCACAGCCAGCGTTACATTTGATAGACTCAAGATGGTCGGTGTTGGTTCAGGTCGCTGGAGCGGCTGCTGTTGTCGCCAGATTCCTTCGGGAGCGATTCGTCGACCAATTCCTCTTCGCTGGACTCGACCGAGACGTTGGATGCGTCATCATCGCTTCGTGACCCTGATCCACGACGTTTTTGAGACGTCCGCGCCCTTAGCTCCATCTACAACGTTTGCGCCGATCGATTCTTGCCCTGTGGCTGACCCACGCTCGGCAGCACGCGCAGATTCGTGGCGATCGTCCAGCAGTATTCAGACCCCGAGGCGGGAAAAATGTGTGGTCGCCCCCCTTTACTATACGGTATACTTTGTCCGGAAAGGGGTATTTATCTGAGGAGGTTTAGGGTCGACTCGACTCAGATTTGGCAGATTTTCATTCGGGCAAATGAATCACTCTCATTATTAATAATAAGGCATTGCCTCAGGCAAAAGCACGTTGACCGGATGGTGATTGAAGTTGCTTTGCAAAAACAAGACGTGTCTTCTGCTGTCCGTGACTGATTACTCTACGCTTACTTTTGGGCATCCCATCATCTCACCTTAGTTCCTGCTGCTACCGACTGAATGCCGCTGGATTTCCCAGCTTTACGAACAGCAAGTCTTGAAGGAAGTGTTCACCTCCCGCGCCCGACCGATTGAGAACACAAACACGATACAGTACATGTACTTGGAAGGTATTTTAATAATTCTGTTTAAAATCATGTTCTTCGTTATAAGTTACTCTCCGTGTCGGGGTGGCTGCTGCTCTGTGGTGGTGTCAGCTCCGGATCTATCGGGGTGCCGGTGTTGTTTGCCTAATGCTAATCCGTACTGAACGACAGTGAAGAATGCGTTAATCTTACACATTGATGACGAAGCCCCCGCTGTCCATGTCGCCCAGCACCTCGATCAAGAAGTCGAGACATGAGTCGTCAAAGTCCGACAGATCCATGGTGGCGTCACTGTCTGTCGAGGTTGTGCTGGTACTCGAGCACGGGCTGGGCGGGTCGGAGGACGGTGCTCGTTGTAGCTCCTTCTGGAAGGATTTCTGCTGCTGTTCGTGCGGTTCCAAGGCTGGCAGAGAGATATTGATCTTGGACGGCGACGATAGTGGCGCGCGTAGTCGACTTGCGATTGTAGGGTCTACGTGGCCGGTGGGGTCTTTCCTGTCCTTTGCGAGCTGGCACAGCTGCACCATGTCCTCATCGAGGCGGTGCTCGGGCCGCACGAGCTTCTTGCGGTCCTTGCGCAGTCCGCGCAGGCGACGACCAACCTTCTCGTAGTACTTTTGAGCATGTGTTTGCACTTGGCGTGGCGAGCGCGTGCCCACGTAGGCAGCAATCTTCTTCCAGGGCCCGTGAGGGTAGAGCTTGAGGCCGTCCAGAAAGCGGTCGTGCTCCTCGCCAGACCATAACCCTCGCTCAATGGAACGGGTGCGGTTGGCGGGTTTCAACATTGGTTTGAGAAGGCTGAGTAGATCACGTGTCCGCAATACGAATTCTCTATGCAATGACAATGGTACTGTACCTATACAGTATCACAGTGTGATCCACACTGCTGGATTATGTCCCGCTGGTGTTTACGGTAAATTTTACCGGTAGTCACCGTTTGCCGGCGCTTGTACATCGGGGGATCCATGCGAGACGCACATGAGGTGGGCGAATATCCAAGCGGTAGACGAGAGTCACACGCTGCGGCCGGTTGGACACAAACATCTTATCGTTGTCAAACCATCAACGATGTTGATTCACAACGACAGATGCAAAAATGGGTTAATTACGGGGGGCTTTCCCTGGTCTCCGACTCTGCAACACCTTCAAGGCAGCAGTCCACCGGTATTCTTACCCCTATAAAGGAGTTTGAAGCATTCAAAGACGAAAATCCACCAGAGAAGTCAAGCCAATAAGAATTTCGTTGTAAGCTTCTGTCTACAGAGTACTGTAAGCAGATGCCAATAGACGGCTGTACTACAGCCTGTACATCTAGAACTACACTGTGACTGTACCATGACAAAACGATACAGACTGTAGCCTCCCGCCTCAGTCTCCTCCTTAGAAACACTGTCGCCAGCTGGGCACAATTTTTTGGCAGGGCACACGTTTCGTTTTGCTGTGCGTGAGGATCGGGCAACTGTCCGTGGTGCACTCTCGTAGATCATCGCTGATGGGTACGCCTTGAAGTGATCATTACGGGACGATCGGATTTTCTACACCGGTTGCGGCACAGCGTGCGTGGATGCTGCACACAATTTCTGACAGCGCAGTCGCTCACGCCTTCGGCAAAGCCCATGAAAACTCTTGTGAGAGCACGAGCGATGCGTCACTTGCACGGTGGTGTCCGTCGAGTGAGGCGACAACAGCCTGACAAGATCAATGGCACTCACCTGAACACGACAGTGTCGAGGATTAGGATGAAAATGCGCTGTTCTCATACCCAGCGGGAGGAAAATGCGAAAAGTAGCACACGGTAGTCGTCATCCTCCGTTTGGCAATGCATGTAGGTTACGCACTTCGTTTAGCTGTCCACCATGAGTACAACCGCGTGCAGGACATCGCACGATGGAGCTATATTCCAAAGGCCAGCGTGGAGCTATGAATTGCCATGGAATCTCGGTGGGTGGTACACTGTACCTATTTCTCGTCAGCCACTGGTAATCATCTCCCAGCGTAATCACAGAATGTAGCCATCCGTTTGACTAATCAGCCTTTGGCGGTGAATTGACAGCGTGAAAGGAACTTCTCGAGCAAAAAAAGTACGGCAGTCGAAGCATTCTGGTCGTGGGCAAGCTTGATGACGCCGTTGACGCTGTCCTTGCCCAGCAGACGCTGCTGCAGCCCATGTTGGAGCTTGCTCAGGATCTTCTGGTGCCATACAGGCAGAGACGGGGGTGAGCAGACTGCGGCATCCGCTTCTCCGTCCGACCAGAAAAACTCTACAACGATTCGACTGCAGTGCGGCAGCAGCGTCCACTGCTCAAACGGCAACCTATTCGTCTGTGAAAAAAGCCGCAGACGCCGACAGTGCACGCGACAGAGCTCTCCACTCCTGAGGCCATGCAAAATGTCCGTGAGCATTGTCATGGGGTCTACTGGTCGAATCAGCTGCCTAGCACATACTGCTACAATTTCACCCGCACGGTTGTAGATGACTATGATCTGTTCGAACAACTCAGCTGTCCGTTGTCGACGAGGCGAGAGTCCCCCTTCATCGTACGTCGCTGGCAGATCTCGCTTGCCCCCCACAGCATTTTGCAGCGATTGAATAGTTTTGCTTCCCGGTGGAGACATTACTGTCGCTAGCTGCCAGCTTTCAGGATTGAGCAGTATCTTCATGTTTTCCACCGTAACGCGAGACACTTGGCGCGTAAGTATCTGCAGCATTCGCCGGGGTCGCTCGGGCTTCTTAAGCACGCCAATGTCGAGTAAGAAGTCGTCGCTACCCTCAGTAGGTCTCCACATCCTTAGAGCGTGCACACCCCACAGCGCGTCACTATAGGATGACGGCGTTGTGATCAGATCGCACCATGCATGTGACGTTAGGCTCAGGCGGTGCAGTCCACGGACAGTGAGGAACTCTTGAAGCCGGAGGAGATTCCCACGACCAAAGTCGACGACACGCGGACCGCTGGTTAAGTTTTGCGATCGATTGTTCAGTGGCACTGCACCAAAACAGGTAGAAAAAGTCTCTTGGTGAGCTTGGAACATTTCTGGATCCAACTTGTACTTCGCCTGCTGATACACTTTGCACTGGTTGGGTGCTGCGTGGAAGTTGGAGCTGTTGAGTGTCAGAGCTGGTGGGAATGGCTTCGCAGTAGGCAGACAGCTTTGATTGTCACTCGGTCGATGAGCGTTGACAGCTAGTGAAGTAACTGAGGGACACAGCGAGAAGGAGTCGGGAGCGCGAGCGTCAACAGACCGAGGCACACTGCGATATCCGTAAAAGGTAGCCACAGGTGGATGCCCTTCCGCGCACTTTTGTCGTGGTGACGTTGATGTTTGAATAACAGGCTCACGACGAGGAGCTGATACGTGCAGGAAGTCAAAGTTCGTCGAGTCACTCAACGACACATCCGGCCGAGACGATCGCCGTGTAAACGTATTGAACTTCCGCAAACGTTTGGCTTCCGGTGGGGGGCAGGAGCTCTCCGTTCCTTCTAAACTGCCTCCAAGCCGACTCGCCATGATGCCGTCACTTGTAGCGAGCAATTCTGGACCTGGTTGATCGCTAGCAGACGCCAAAGCGCGACCAGTTACAACACGAGACGGCCGACGGGGCTTGGTGTTGTCTTCAATCGCGGAGTTGCAAGTGACCTTCACTCGCGCACTGAGTGATGGTGAGATGCGGATATCGTTGGATTCGATGCTTTCTTGGCACGTTTGGGAGCAATAGGCTCGGGCCAGAAGCGAAGCTCGCATCGACGATGACACCGGCTGGTTTGTATCGGTAGCAGAAGCTCTCGTGGGTGGCCTTTTGATATGCGGGCGGAAGAACCGCGCCTTGCAGTTCCAGCAAGTGGCCAGCGGGATGTTGTTAGACGACGCCGGTTTACGTAGTGGGAACGACGGCTTGGATGAGGTAGGAGGCTTCGCGGTGTTTTGCTGAGCTTGCGTTGCAGATGCCCGCGGCGAAATCAATGGGAAAACGAGTGCTGCGCCCGCTGAGCTCACAGCTGAAGCTGGAGGCTGACGATCATGCGCTTCGTGCGACGACGCCACAGAGCGAGAAGATCCTGGCTGCGACCGGTTCGTAGCACAAGCTTTCTCTAAACGCCGTTGGTGTTTCTTCAGCTTCACATACTCGCTCTGGAAATCCTTCCAGTTCGAATCATTTGCTGATGTTTCGAAGAGCTTTCGTAGTTTCGGTGCCGGAGTCTCTAGTAATACTTTGCCAGTAATTTGCTCGTTCACTATCACTTGCGCAAAGCTCCCGAGCTGCTTGTCTTGGAGATAGCGTGCAAGTTCTAGAACGTCCCAATATCCAGGCATAATGGTGACACCTTCGTCCGTGTCGTCACTCAAAGCGTTATTCACGGTAGTTGCAGTCGATGACATCGACTCGTTTTCATTTTTTCGAGGAGCTGCAGCCCCCTTCCATTTAGTGCCGTCCTTACCCGTACGAGAAGTCCGACGCCAGGCTTCTCGCTCTACTTCAGCAACAACTTTGACATTCGCAAGCCGATCTTCCATTTGCACGATGTCATTTTCCAGCTCCTGCGTCGTGGCCGACATTGTCAACTTTATTTAGTTTAGATACTTCCCTGCAACCGACAAAAATGCGTCTATTTATAGGATTTTTTGCATGCAAAAAGAGCACCACGACCTATTTTGGCGGAAACGGCAGGTTCATCGCTTGATACAGAAACGCCATCTCCATGGCACTTTCCTCCAACTGTTCCAATCGCCCGCCACCACCGAAATGACCTTCGTCTTCCGACATTTTCAACAGCATCAAACGCTTGTCACGCTTTGGCAACGAGGCCTGCACTTTACGCACCTTGTACATCCACTTGGTAGGCTCCCAGAACTGCACTCGCTGATCGTTCAAGCTACCGGTCACGAACATGGCAGGATACACCTGATGCTCACGCACATTATCACACGGCGCGTACGACTGAATGTACTCGAGCACTTTTGGTCCAGTTGGATCGCCCCACTCGTCGTATTCGTGCACTGTCAGCGGCAAAGTCGGGTCCTGCATCGTTGCGAGGATGTCGACGAACGGCACCTTCATGACCAGCGCCTGGTAGAGCTGCGGGTACTCGTTGGCCACGTATCCCATGATAAGGCCACCGGCACTCACCCCCTTCCCTGCGAGTCGCTTGGGGTTTGTGAACCCGGCGTCGAGGAGATGATGAGTGCACGAGACGTAGTCATCGAACGATTGTCGCTTCTGCATGCCCTTGCCAGCCTGGTACCATTGCAAGCCTAGCTCTCCGCCACCACGAACGTGTGCAAGAGCAATGACCCAGCCACGCTCCAGTAAACTCAAATGTTCCAGCTCAAAGTCGGCTTCAAGATTGCTTCCGTACGCCCCGTAGCCGATCAATAGCGTCGGATTCTGTCCATTCAGCGAGATATCGCGGCGGTGGATGAGCGTCAGTGGAATCTTGACACCCAGACTACTCATACTAGGCACGTAGCATCGCTCGCAGACGTACTGCCCCGGCTCAAACGACGATTTAATGGTCTTGTCTCCGCTGTCACGCTTGAAATCGAGCGATCGATCCGTCAGCTCGGTCTCCTTGAGAACGTGGAGCCCTCGGTTCTTCATGTCGTAATCGTACACGATCTCTGGGACCAGAGGCGTGGACACTTGGAACCGGACGTGGTGTGCATCATAATCGCGATTTACTCCAGGAGACACACGGCAAATCTCGTGCTCCTTGGGCAACGGAATATAATGAGGAGTGTTGGTACACGCATCACTCTTTTCGCCCAGAGTGCACACTCGGATACGAGGAACGCTGTGTTCTCGCTCATAGAGCACCAAGTAGTTCTCAAACAGATCCACATCCTCGATCTTCACGTCTTCGTGCTCAGGAACGAGCGTTTGCCATTCGCCAAGTGAAGAGGACGTGGACTTCGCCTTTAAATTCGATTGGCAAGTCGCGATTTTGTAGTTGAGTGCGCCATCAGCATTCGTGACGACGAAAAACTGGCCGGCGGCGTGGTCTGCAAAGTACAACGTGCCGGCTTCCCGCCGCCTCAGTAGTTGAGGCTGCGCAGTGACGTCGTGGCCGTCCAGCGCGTAGATCTCGGACGTGTTCTTCGAGTTGCAGTTGATGAGCACGAACCGCGCGTCCTTCGTCTGCGATACATCCACGAAAAAAGCCTCGTCCTGCTCTTCGTAGATCTATATGTACATTCAGCATTATTTTTGCAATGTTGCAGACCCATCCCCCTTCTTGTCAGTTGCCACTTCAACTCGAAAGAGAAATGATCACGTCACGTACCAGTTCTTGCGCATGAGTTGCCAAGTTGTATCTGTACACTGCAAACGGCCGTCCGTGCGCGTCCACTTTGGTATAATAGAAAACGCGTTTCGGCGGAGGCGCTGAGCTCCACTCGACGTTTTTGATGTCCGTGACGTCTGTCAGAGGCTGCAACTTCCCCGACTTTAAATCTCTCAGTACCGCGCGACACTGTTCGTTGTCGTTCTCCATGACGAGTAGCAGTTGCGTTGCATCGGGGGAGATTTTCATACCGGATACAAACTGAAAGCCGTGCTTAAGTGAAGGCTCCACATTCTGGTTTAGCACAATTTCCTCGTTCGTTGAAGTTGCCGTTGCATCCGACTCGGCAACTCGACGTCGACGGTAGTAAACGGGAAAATTTTCACCTGGTGCTTGCCGCATGAAGTATTCGTATTTGCCGATGCACTCGGGGATGCTAAAGTCTTCGCGCAAGAGACGATTACGTAGCTCTACGTTGAATGCGCGCTCCACTTTCCGGAACTTCGGCTTGGAGAGCTGGTTCACCAGATAATTTCGCTCCAGCTGGGGAAAAAACGTTGGTAGACATTTTTGCAGCAGAGGTTTAGAGATACTCCAAAGTGACAAACGGGCAAAAGCGTCGGTACCTTGAGGAAGCGTTGCAAGCGAGGGTTCTCGGGATCTTTGAGCCACTCCCAGGACGCGTCCCTAGCTGCGAAGCATCCTAGCTGCTGCTTGATCAGTGCTGAAGCATGGATGTACTGTGTAGCTTCTCGAGACAGCGCAGATCGCCGCGCGCTGGCGCCCAAAAGCCTCGCACCAAGACGCGTGCGTAGCATGGTTCTGCTGGATTGTGGCCGTCAGAAATACGTCGCTCAATTCGAATTTTTTGGTCCAATTTGCGCCCATCTGATTTGTTTTCACCACCTTGCGACTAGCCATCGCCAGCTGACTTGGGCTCACCACTTGTCTCGCCATGCAGCCACAGCTGTATCCATGGATATGGTACGAGTTAATTCTTCACACACCGATACTAGTAAGTTACTAGTATATGTTTATTGGTACTAGTAGTAACCATAAACACTGGAAATTCAAGCACAAAATGTGTTCGCCACACGAATGAAGCCACTTCTTGCCAATTTAGCGCGGTCTGATTGGACAGTACACTTTTTGCCCTATCCGTAGGGGGGCAAGGAGAAAAGCGCATACGACAGCACGAGCCTCACTACGCCAACAACGCAGGACCAAAAGCGGCGTCGAAGAGGCGGAAAACAATGGAGGGAATTAAGGTGCACCTCCCCCGTCTTTGGCTTTGGCAACAAACTTGTACGCCCCCCTGTCGCTTTAGGCTAATGGCAAATGTTCCATCCTTTTCCACATCATGCAGGTATTTACCCCCGACACAGAGCACGTGTGGCTTCCCGGCGTGATATGTGGAGCTAGCGGAGATGGCAAGAAGCTCACGGTGCGACTAGATGAGGTCGTGGGACCCAAAGATGCGTCTGCCTTGGAGCACATCCCGTCCGAGCGCGAACTCAGTGCGTTCGCTGGGTCGCAACGTGCCGTGGACCTCACAGACGCGTCGGTATTGGAGGCGCTCAACGCCAAGAACACATCAGTCGAGTCCGCAGACAACAAACCGTCGCTTCCTCTGCAAAATACGAGTGAGAGCGCCAATGGCTTCGAGGACATGATTCTCATTGATCATTTGCACGAGGCGTCCATCCTGTACAACCTGCGAAGACGATTTTTCCGTCGATTGCCATGTACGTTTGGCAACTTCTTGCAGTTGCCTTTTTCGTTTTAATTGCCTCTGGTTGGATACGCCACTGACACTTTTTTTTGCCGAATGGCAACAATTTGCAGACACATACACAGGACGCATCTGTATCGCCGTGAACCCTTATCAGTGGCTGGATCTGTACTCCAAGCAGACAATGGAGAAGTTCAGCGACGGGAAGCGGGAACACAAGCCGCCCCACGTCTACGCCGTGTCCATGGAGGCGTTTTTCAACATGCGGCAAAAGCAGGAGAACCAGAGCATCCTCGTCTCAGGAGAGTCCGGAGCTGGCAAAACCGAGACGACCAAGATCGTCATGAGCCACTTGGCAGCTCTTGCCACCAACTCGAACTCGAAAGTCATCCAGCAGATTATCAAAGCGAATCCGCTGCTCGAGTCGTTCGGAAACGCCAAGACCGTGCGCAACGACAATTCCAGTCGGTTCGGCAAGTTCACGGAGCTGCAGTTCACGATGGAAGGCCAGTTGATCGGCGCCAGATCTCGCACGTATCTGCTGGAAAAGAGTCGAGTCACGACGCAGGCGGATGGCGAGCGCAACTTCCACATTTTCTACCAATTACTGGCGCAGCGCAAGCAATTTCCCGATCTGGAGCTCGACATGGTCAACTCGTTCAAGTACGTTTCCGAGCGCGCGGAAGCCCCCGGAGGCGACGAAGAAGGAGACCTCAGTCGCACGCGTGAAGCTCTGGAGCTTGTGGGCATCGAGCAGCCGTTGCAGCTGGAGATTATCCAGATTCTGGGCGCGGTGCTGCATCTGGGCGAGTCGGAGTTCACTACGCGCAACGGAGACGTCGACGCGTCCCAACTGGCGGATCTAAAGCACTTCGCAGTGGCCTGTCGCCTTCTGGGCGTCGAGGTGGACGCTCTGGAGCGCGCGGTGTGCAACCGCAACGTGTTTGTGGGTCGGGAAGTGATTCTGAAGCCCATGACACGCGACCAGGCGGCGGACTGTCGCGATGCGCTGGCCAAGAGCCTGTACTCGAAGCTTTTCCTGTGGCTGGTGGAGCAGATCAACCAGACGATCGGGGTGAAAACTGCGGGAGCAGGCTCGTTCATCGGCATTCTCGACATCTTTGGCTTCGAGCACTTTGAGACGAACTCGTTCGAGCAGTTCTGCATCAATTACGCGAACGAGAAGCTGCAGCAGAAGTTCGTGCAGGACGTGCTCAAGACGGTGCAGATCGAGTACGAGGAGGAGAACATTTCGTGGTCGCACATCACGTTCGCAGACAACCAGGACGTGCTGAACCTCATCGAAGGTCGTCTGGGCGTCATCAGCTTCTTGAACGAGGAATCGCTGCTTGCGACGGGCACAGACGCGTCGTTCGCGAGCAAACTGGGCGCTGTGATGGAGAACAACCCGCTGCTGGAGACCCCGAGACTGAACAAATGCGCCTTCTCCATCTACCACTACGCGGGTAAGGTGACGTACGACGCGTCAGGCTTCCTGGACAAGCACCGCGACGCCATCTTGCCGGATATCAAGCAGTGCATGAGCAAGTCGACGCTCAAGATCTTGTCCAAGATGTTCACAGACGACGTGAACGCCAGCAGCGCCAGCTCCACGGCGTCCTCGGCTCGCGGGAGAACACGCAGCACTAGTGCGAAGAAGGGCGGACACGCGCAGACGCGTCGCACGACCGTCGGCACCCAGTTCAAGGAGAGTCTGTCGCAGCTCATGGAGAAGATCGGGCTCACCGAGGTCCACTACGTGCGCTGTCTGAAGCCGAACCCGCTGAAAAGTGCCCACTGCTTCTCGCACGGCGACATTGTGAGTCAACTGCGCTGCGCCGGTGTCATTGAGGCCATCCGCGTGTCTCGCAGTGCGTATCCGAGTCGTATGCCTCATCTCGAGTGCTTCAAGAAGTTCCGCGTGCTGCAAACCGGCGCCGTTCCGACGCAGAGCAAGTTTATCAGCGACTCGGACACGGAACACATTAAGGATCAGTGCGAAGAGCTGATGGACAAGCTGCTGCCGGGACGCAACATCCAGGACTACCAGGTGGGCCTCACGCGTGTGTATTTCCGCGAGGGAGTGCTGGAAGAGCTCGAGACCAAGCGCGGCTGGGCGCTACGCAAGTATGCGATCGTGCTGCAGAAGAACGTGCTGTGCTGGCTCATGCGTCGTCGCTTCCTGCGCCAGAAGCAGCAGATCGTGGTCATCCAGAAGTACTGGCGGCGCTACGTGGTCCACAAACGCTACTTGACGCTGCGTCGAGGTGTCGTGGTGCTGCAGGCGCAGGCCCGCGGCGTGGCGGCGCGAAAGATGTATCGCGTGCTCAAGTTCGACTACTGCATCGTGCGGTTCCAGGCGTACTGTCGCATGCACACGGAGCGTCAGCGTTATCTCAAGAAACTGGCTGCTGTTCGCCGCCTGCAAGGATTCTTCCGCTTCTCTCTACTGCGTCTCGTGTTCCTAAGGAAGATGGAGAAGGAGAAGGCGTACAAGGAGCTCGGGTCCAAGGTGGCGCAGCTGCAGATGAAGCTGGACAGGAAACAGGTGCATACTGGAGCCAAGATGTCTCCGTCTGGCAAGAACCGGTCGTTGAGTCCGTCCGACGTGCCGCACGCGTCCGGTCCAGGCAGCACAAGCAGCAGTGCCTCCACGCGAGGCTCGATGCTCAACAGCCGGTTCAGCGGCACGAGCGGCATCCTTGACGAGAGCAACGAAGTGATCACGGCGCTCCACGAAGAGAACGAGAAGCTGCGGCAGCAGTTGGAGAAGCAAGAGGCCGAGATCCAGCGCCTCAAGACGGAGAATCGGACGCTCAAGAACTGGCAGCAGTCCAAGGAAGTCGGCGAGCAGGTGCAGAAACTGGCGCACAGAGACCAGGAGAGCAAGGATCTGACGTATCTGGCTGCCATCGAGACGGAGTACGAGAAACTGCGCACGTACATTTGCGAGTCGCGCGAGTTGCCGACGGATGTTGGCAGCATCACGCAGGCCAACAACGCGCCACCGGCGACTGGCGGCCGCGGCTCGTTGACGTCCGTGTCGTCGGAGAAGTCGCTGCTCGCTACGGCGGCGGCGAACGGCATTATGGACCAGAAATCGGCAGAGGCGCATCATTTGTTGATGAAGAGCGCGGCGCGCATTGCACACGCCAAGAGCAAAGTCTTCAGTAAGGGCAACGCACGTCGCGTCAAGGATCATTGGGAGGAGATCCGGAACTTCCCACCGCCCATGCACTACTCGCTGGGCTCGGTGCCCTGGAAGCGCCTGCTCACGGACTGGGCGCAGGGCAACCCGAAGAAACTCGACTACATGACGCGCTGGCTCAAGAACGTCCTCGACGGCGGGCCGATTGTGTCGGACACGTTCCCGATGGGTGTGGAGCTCAAGTATGTGACGCCCATGATGTTGGATGGGTTTATGCAGCTAGTGATCCCGAAGCTGGCCGAGCGACCAGATATCCAGGTGCACGTGCACACGAAGGAGTTTATCGGAACAAGTATGCGGATCACGCTGTCGCAGCTGGAACAGCAGGGCAGCCAGCGTAGTCCGGCCCACCCACGAGTAGAACGCTCGGCGCCGATGGAAGTGGAAGATTTCCAGCGGATTTCGATCCTCGCCAACTCCAATAGCCGCAACTCGAGCAGTCGAATGTCTACGTCAACGTTGAGTCTGTCGCCCATGGAGTCGAGTTCGGCAATTTCGTCGGGTAGTCCGAGCAGCTATCGCTCCAGCATCTTCCGCTCTGGACGCAGCAATCACAACGGCGACCATAGCGCCCGCAACTCGTTCTTCCATCGGAACAAGTAGAAAGCGGCAGAGGAAGACGGAAGATGGTTAAAAGACGCCGAGACTTGGATGGAGTGGCGGCGGCTTATGGATAGGAGGGAGGTACTTATGTGTTTTAGTGGTAGATTGGGTAGCCATCGGTGACGTCTGGGTCAGCTTGTGGTGGAGACGAGAGGCTTCAAACTCTCTTTCGCTTGTCCACGAGACTTTAGACAGGAGGGAAAACAGGATTTAATCATGCTTGACGGAGTGTTGGGTGCGCGTCCGGCATGACTTGACGCAGAATTTCTCTCGGCGAAAGGCGAACTACTAGAAGTTCTTGACTCGCGACAGCTTCTGGACACCGAAAGGGTTGGACGATCGCCGGTCGGGTTCATGCTTGCAACTAGCAGACTGCAACTGAAGAAAAGTATTAATGGTTGCACAGCATTTTGCATGTAGTAAATACAGTAAATGAGAGACGAGAAAAACACTAATAGAGAAATCAGTAGTACGGTAAGTAAAAATTCTAGGTGTCATCAGTACTATAATATCAGCGTCTAAATACTTAAGCTTTAGAGCGAAAATTGCTTGTACATTCCAGGGTTGCAAGATGGATTGGCCCACCATGTACAACGTGCTGTAGCAAAAAAAGCAATCGGGGGCATTAAAATGCATTTAAATAATACAAGTACAGTAGAAGCAATAATATGCAAGATCGGAGTACTACAGTACTTAAGTACTACATATAATTACATGTAGTACAGAAGAGGCATCGGTACATATAACGAGCAATAATAATAAATTTGAAAGAAAATATCATTGTCTCATATTATATCTACATGTATATTTTCGATCATTGAATCTTTGGCGGCTGTGCGAGTTGCCCCTGACTCTCACCACTTGATATGTTGCATGACTGATCTAACACACACGCTTGCGTGCGCGTCCACAAGTTCGGAGTGGACACTGTCCACTGGACAGGAAAATTAATTTCGTGGTATTGACATCCGACTTGGTGATATGACGAAATGATGAAAGTGGGCCAACCTCTCAGAGTCTCGGCTACA